GAGAGAGAGAGAGGCCCGAGGATATATAAAAAGTTTAGGATAACTTTATGGCTTAGAAACCACGGATTCGTGGTGAGAGTGGGAGTGACACAACGAGAAGGTAAATCTGTTGGATCAAAGGGTTGTTATGCTACTGATGGTTTCAAAGAACAAAAATTTCGTTATCTTTTCGTTTATTTTGTTGCAGCACTTTGTTGCGAAAGTTCAGTTCATACTTCATTATTAGTATAAACCACGGTTCCCTGACTCGACCGAGTCCAATCGAACTCATCAAGTCACTTGGACTCGCCCTATGGGTGAGTCTGAGTAGCCCCAAGTGTGTGCATACAATCAGGGCCCATAAAAAAAATAACAAAAAAATAAAAGAATTGTAAAAAATATAAATGGTGTATAAAAAAATTTTATATGATTTGGATGTTTTTGGGAATGACTGGTGAATGGTTTTTGCCATAATCTCTATTTTGTATTTTTCTTTTTTAATTTTTTAAATTCTCCCCATCTATAAATCAGCTTTTTTGAGATCCATTTTTAAATACTTTTTTAAGTTCATGTGGATTTTTAAGGTTGCTTTTAATATTAGTTTACCTTTACTACCTTCATTAAAATTGTAAAAAATATGAATCGTGTATAAAAAAATTTTATATAATTTGAATGTTTTTGGGAACAACTGGTGAGTGTTTTTTGCAGTAGTTTCTATTTTCTATTTTTCCTTTTTATTTTTTTAAATTCTCCCCATCTATAAATCAGCTTTTTTAATACTTTTTTATGTTTATTTGGACTTTTTAAGGTTGCTTTAGTATTATTTTACTTTTACTACCTTCATTATATGTTTTCATATTTGTATATTTTCTTAAACTTTCTAGTACTTTTTTGTCCTGTACAAGACTCAGGCAAGTCCACTCGAACTCGAGGGTGAGTCGAGTTTTTGAACATTAGTATAAACTTACAAGAAGAGAAAACTTCATAAGATGTAAAATATAGGTTTCTTACAAACATAAACTTGAACGTCAAGGGAAATTTGTAGATATTTCCCAGTGTAATCATTGTCTTTCATAATCTTCTCCAATTTGGTCTCAGAATATCCCAAGAACACTAAAAATTTATACAATCCTCTGAGAGAATACCTCACCAAGAAGTTCTTGATAATGCAATTTGCCTTTATGGTCCTCCTATGGTTAATACTTAAAGATTTTCTTTCTTTTCTTTCTGTTTTTATGAATGTGCGATTTTTCTTTCTTTTTTTTCCTTTTCTTTTTGTGGGTATTTCTTATGACACAATTACAAGATTGCCATGCACAATACCAACCTGAAGAATGCTTGATGCTGAACTGCAAGTCAAGTAAATGAAATCCTCTACTACTGCCATCAAATAAACACTCGAACCACTAGCTAGGGCACGCAAGACAGTGGACCCATCTTTCCTTCTCCACACCTACATATTTCTATCGATCAATGCAAGGGATCAGGAAATGTGGGTCAAAGAGTTTTGAGCAATTTTACCTTGACATTTGAACCTTTCACAGTAGCACCAGCACTATAAATCCAGTCTTTGAAAATAGCAATGGAGTTCACAGGTTTACTTTTTATCCAACTCTTTACACCTCCATTAATCTCCCGGCTGCAATTGGTTGACAAATCTACCTCCTGAATGGAACTCAACAGTAAAGTAATGAGAACACAAGTAATCAATCCGAAAATGCGGCCCTTGGTGATGAAGCGTAATGTAAGCTCAATCATTGAGATCAATAGAAGTTACCGATCCAAAAATAAACTGAGTTTGGGGCTTTCAATGATTTATGGGTGATGTATTGTCCAACATTGCAATCAATATACATCACCGAACACACACACACACACATGCACAGAGAGAGAGAGAGAGAGAGAGAGAGAGAGGGGAGGGGGAGGGGGGGGAGGGGGAGGAGAGTAGTTAGTATTACTAGTGACTACGACGAGACGACAAGTAAGTAAGGTAGGGTAAGTAGTAGTAGTAGTACGTACACGACGTCTACCGTAGTACGTCGTACGTAGTACCGTCCCGTAGAACTACCTAATTAACTTACTT